TTAATGTACCTCTACTATTCAAGCTTGCCTTCAAACAATCGTGATCTATAAATTTCAAAACTACATTTTAGCTTCTAATAAATAAAATATATATTTTATTTAATAAAACGTGTATTTTTTTCCAATATGTATTTAATATGAATACCTATTTAATCATATATTTAGTGTCCAGGCCCTGGTTCGGGACCATACAGGTTGTGGACTTGTGGTCCAATTCGTTAAAAGGAGCCAGTTGCTAATAAAATTACCATATTTCAATAACAATCAAACTGTGCAAACACCTATAAGGGAATAATATTTTTGGTTTTTAATAATAATATTATTATTATTATATTATCAGATATGTGTAATGTTACTTACCTAATTATATTATACTAAAATTAGTAAAATATATTAAATAATAMCTGTTTAGACTAACCTATAATTAAAACATTTAATCAATGTGTGAATAAATGCTTTTATGSTAGTAAAATAAGTTACAGTAAGTAGGTAAACATATTAAAAAATGAAAATTTTATAAAATACACAATAGATTTTAGATGTAAGCTTATTAACAAATTATATAGTATGCCTGAAATTACTCAAAATGATAATAAAGATTAGGATTTAATCAAATATTGGGATACAACCAAGTAGGTAACTATAAGATTTTTCATTTGTCCAAACAATTTTGTTTTAGTATGCTGTAAAGTATTTTTTCACTAAGATTATTTAACTAATGTAACAAAAAATAGGGATTTGTATTAGCTACCTATTAATTATTTATATTATAATATTTGTTCTGTTACATATTGTTTTAATAATATCACTATTAAAACTTTAAGTACCAACTAATGATATATGTATGCAATTTAAGCTGGCTTATAATTTATGAACATAATATTATATGAAAACGTATAGTCCAAATGGTTTAAATTATCATACTGATAATTGTTTCATATCGTTGAATGCATAATTAAATGTATAATTACGAGTGTGGAACACAAGTTAGTCGTCCGAAGTCGCATTCAAATGCTAATGGAAGTCCAGTTATCCATATTATAATATTCGTAGTGGTAGTGTTTAATGTCCATAGAATGATGGGATACCAATTGACAGTTTATTTTCATTGAGAAAATATTAGACTTATAACAATGAACATAGTAGTATTGCTTTTAACTAATTTTAGTTGATTTGTGTTATTAACTCCGTTACTAAGGTTGACAAATTCAAATCAACCTCACAGTCTGTTTTTCCTGTAAAACAAATACCATTCAAACAATTTTCAGTTGTTTTGATATAAATTACGAATGAAAAAAATATTGAATTCTATAATTTATACAATAAAATTCCCGTAGATGTATAAAAATATTCAAAACTAAAACCGTGGTTTTTTTTTTTTTTTGGTTGACTCGTTCATCTTCAAAATTACTTAATGATTATAATTTGAAACTATAAAAATATTACCATTATTATATTACTAAATTGTTTTCTGAAGTTGTTTGTTACTAATAAATGTGGTAATACAATATAGATCCAATTAGTTATTCAATATTTTTAAATATTAACTTATTTTTATTTATTTATTTTTTCCTGAAAGAACCGACAGCAGAGGAGGATCTGTTTGCACAATAATATTCCTCAACATCAACTTCTTAAATATATATATTTAATGGATTAAATATGGATAAGTATGTAAAATATCTATTGTATAATATAAGATAGTTTTAGATAGGCGATAGAATAAGTATTTGTTCATCGAGTCTTAAACCTTTTAATAGCCCCGAACCTGTTAAAATGGGTTAGAACATATAAGCTTAATAGCTAATCTGCCAAAATATAGTCAGCCGGGACAAGTTAAACGCTGTAACTCGCTGGTTCTATTCGAGCCTGATATAATTAGATACATAAAAAACTTTTAAAAAWACAGTTACTATATTTATGAGTAAGCACCTAATCAACGTCTTAAAGTAAAACGTTGATAAAATTAGATGATGATGAATTATAAAATAATTTTAGCTTAAGCCCTAAACTAAGTTCATATTAGTTATTAATTGTAATTCAATTATGCTAACAAAACGCRTTAAGGCATATAAAAATTAACAATTTGAAAAATGAGTTTCTTACATTTTTTAATTGAATACAAAAATAGAATTTCTTGAGTTTTAGAAACATTTATGCTCGATTATAAACACTTTTGCGTCAATATAATATGGTTTTTAAATTAGTCATAACTCATAGCTTAAAGTTATTTTTATGACTTAACATTTTAAACTAAATTTTTATGTTTATAATATAGTTATAAAAGTGAAATAAATTATTATCGAGGTGAATATACATAATATGAACTTCAGTTTCGATTAACACAAATGGAAACACATGTTTAGTTGTAGTTGAAAGCTGCAATATAATACCTAAGTAAACGTTTCTTTAGAATACTAACGAAGAGATGAAAAAAGGAAGTATAGGTAAATTTAGGAAGTTTCACAAAATTTGATTTAATATCATACTGTATAAATTAAAACAAGTACCTATGCTATTCTGAGAATTTTTAAAATGCATGCTTATGYTTTAATTAATTTTTCCAAAAAGTAATTACATGCTGGCAGATATATARTTAAGTTATTTTACTAGCTATTAATGATTACACGTTGTAATTATAATTAACGAAAAAAATATTATTATTTATACACTACCTATACTATAACAATACTATAAAATATAGTAGGTACTATAATATAACAATTACAGAAATGTCTACGGAGAATATAATATTTAAAATTAGAAGTTTTTTTTAAAAATAAAACAGACTTTCTAATTATATTATCTGAATAATACATTTTTTTTTAACATTAAAATATTAAGTAAGTTTCTATACCTATGCTTATGTACTTGTATATWATATTGGTAGGTATAAGTAAATATTTTGATTTTTTCGTGCAAAATAAAACCAATAAGTTAGAGAYTACTAATTTGATAAATATATAATTGAATTGAGGTTTATAAACTATTTTTATAAATAGTTAATTTATATTAATGACATTTCTTATCTTCGTTACCATTTGAAACATAGCTAGATCCGCTACAATTCTAAAACTGCGGATCATATTATTATGTTTTAATTTAATTGGATTTTTTTTATTTAAACGATTGATGAAATCATTTTTTAAGGTTTATATACTAAAAACTGTTAGCAATTTGTTATTTATTAAATCACGTTCTYGGTTAATACTTACTAATATCATAATATAAAAAATTATTTTTTATCARTCTGTTACCTATTCATTTATCATATCTAAACAATAGATAAATTAATTGTAAGAAAACACAACCAGGCTAATTCTCAACAACAGAATGATACGATTAATAATTAATAAATCTCAAGGTATCAATGTTTGTTGTTATGGTAAATTAAACTTCGTCATAAAACTAAACGCAATTAATATTTTTTACTATTCAGTGGTATTATAATTTATGCATAAAAAATATCTTTAAAGTTCTACCATTCAATGTCTGTTGTAATTTTTTTTTATTATGCGGATATATATTCTATTATTGTCTACATATAAATTATGAATAAGATTCAAACGAAATAAAACGTTCTCCTCACAACGATGTACTTCATAAAATATTTTATTATTCCATAAATTAATAATAATTGATTATCTTTATATTTTATAGTTATAGACTCCTAAGGTTGACTATTTTGCGAAAGATCAATAAAAAAAAGGACAAAAAATATAAATAAATCTCTTGAATTGGCACTAAACTAATTTATTTTATTAATAAACAAAATAAGGAATCGCATAAATATAATGTAGTAGGTAGTAGAAAAAAATCAATATTGAGAGACGTATATAGTGTGGGTTACTTATTAGACATTTTAATATTGTTGTAATGTTATAATAATATTGCTAATATATAAAAATTTTTATTTTTATTTTAAATTATATGATCCATATGGTGACGGAGTACCGCAGCCTATTGACGAAAACAGCGACGGGGCAAGACCACCAAACACCCCTAATCCAGGCCGAGACGGTACCGATGGCCGGGGGACGTTGAGCAACAGTGGTTTCAGTGCGACGGGTATGAATTTCGGCAGCAGTGGTAGTTGCGGGGACGCAAGAGACGGGGTCGATGACGACACACACTCATCGGCGAATTCGGGTGGGCAGTTAACCGTCGAGGACGGACCACCGCATGGACAAGACTGCTGCTGTTGAGATGCACAGAATGGACAGGGCAGTTGTAGTAGTGTGCAAGACGGTGGAGCAGCTGGAACTTCTACAGGTGCAGGACTGGGGCACTGGCAGGGGCGCGGGGCTGAAGAGGGGAGGTCTGGGCAGGACGTGGTCGGGTACGGGGAGTATTGTACAATCTGGTAGGGGGTAGGTGTCGTTGGTATAGGGGGGGCGCTGCAAGACGGGAGATTGAATGCTGTCGGTTGTTGTTGTTTGCAAGGCCGCACATTGTATCGACGCGGTTGAGGACAGTTTTGTGGACTCGGACAGCAGCAACGTGGTTGCCACGAACCACTGCAGGTACAGCCTTCGTTGAAGTCCTGGTTGACTGATCCGCAAAATGGTTCCACGGTGCAACATGTCGGTGACGGGTTTTTGCACGAGTTAACAGGTGTGGCCTGCAGAACAGGTTAAAACAATAAATAAAAATGCTTTAGAATACCGGTGCTTCCCAAGCTTGTTGACATACGGCAAGAGCCGTGCCAAAGTTTTTCAGGATTTTCGGTAAATTAATAAATTGTAAATACAATTAAATCACAAAAAAGAAATAAAATTAAACTATTGAAATTTCACGTAGAAAAAAATGTTACCAATAAAAATTAATCATAAGTAGGTAAGTAGGTAGGTGTTATATTATRTTATCTAACTAACCTACAAGCATCTGGATTTTTTTAAGCAGCTCGTAATATTTTAATATTTGTAAATATCATAATTTAACATTTTTGTCTTATAATACGCTATTATGTACAGTCAAAAAAAAAAAATAAAAATGCACGAATCATAAGTTGAGAAACATTATAAAAACTAATAAAATAGTTTAGTTTACATATGACACGATGYTTAACGTTCTTATTGAAATAATTATAATATTGATGTGAACGTCACTTACTTCGACGACTGATAGAGTCACTGATGCGGCTAACACAGCCACGGYTATTATTAAAGCGTTCATTTTGAAACAGCCCTGAGGAAAGCGGTTAGACGATGGACGAATGGACGATTGTATGTGAAACGTTTGTGCGATGTTTGGATTTTATACTGAAAACATTTTTACATTGTTGTCCATAGTTTCACGTTCTAAAAAAAGTTCGTTAAAAAACTGATTGCACAAATGGTATCGACCGCGTATTTGTTGCAAATATTATTGTGTTTATTATTTGATAAAAATACTCTGTGTGATTTTTAGCCAAATAATACATTTCATTGATCWTTTTTAAATTAAAAATTATTAGTTTTTGATCACATATTAATGATGCTAATAAACTCATATCTGTTATAGATGTCTTATGATATATGTATTATAAATGCTTATATCAATTTTATMAATTTTCACTTTCAACATTTGCGCAGGTAGGTTAGGAATGTMTAGATGATACCATATTATAGCTAATGGCTATATTAATTTTATTATTAAATTATTATATTAACTATCAATAGATTTATTTTTATATTTATATATACCTTAAT